AGCACCTTAACAAAAAAACAATGCTGCATGCATCCTGTTGTAAATGGAGCAAAAATTAGATATACAAAAATATCAAAGACTTACTTGTTTTGGTAATTTGTTTAAACACTATAAAACACGACGAGAATGACGCGGCTCATGGCAAGTCAAAAGCCTTATAATAAAAATCTTAAAATTAACTCTAAAATGAGCTAGAGAAGGTAGGCCAGAATTGGAGTTATGTGCTCCCTCCTTCGAGCTCCAGTTAGGAGCCGAGCAGCAGCAAACACAATAAAAGCAGGAGCCCCGAAATGGAACCCTGTAGAACACCGTATGGAAGTGTTGTCGGGGCAGGACTCAGAGCAGCCAAGGCGAACACAAATTTCAGTCTGACAAGCATTAGAGCCCGATCCTCGTTAGTTGTCATTATCTGATGGCTAATATAGCTTCGATTATGTCTGTAAATAAGCATGAAATATTGTCATTGAATGAGACAGCCTGAGAGAGATTCTGTCCACATCAATGAACTGAAATGCCTTTGAACTGGAGGCTAAGCTACCGCAAGCAGACATGTGTTGATATCAATAACAATCAATAGGCTTAGATATCGTTGATGTCTATAAATCATGTTATTGACCTGGTTTAAGGCAAGACTCCCTGATAAAAGGCTTGACACATGGCAGAATGAACCAGCATGACATATGACCATAAGCACCTGGGCTCAGATATCAGTACAACTCAATATGGTTCTTGCAGTGACCAAAAAAAAAAAAAAAAATTCAATCAACAAACAAGAAAATTAGGTTTCTCCAACTCAGACTTTGCAGATTACAATGACCTGAAGTTTTTTTTGTGTGTGTGTGTGTATGTTTTTTCTTAGATCACATCCAGGATCTTTAGTTTCTTTCTATAAAACAGTTTATGAATAGTTAGGTTGAAAATTCTGATAAAACTTTGAGAACCCCTGCGTTTTTACAATCTTTTAGACGTCGATAATTATAACATATTACGTCGGAGTATAAAAGAGATATCACAACTAGTACGGGGGAGCCTGGGAGGAAAAGAACGCAATTCATTTCATTGTTGCTGTGTTTAAATATCTTAATTACCTTATGAAATATATTCCAACCCACTTTAAACTGTCTGCGTTGAAAAAGAGGCCGAGAGAAAGAATATTACTCGAAGAGGCGCGTGCGTAGCTTTTAGCGGTCTTGTATAATTGTGGCTAATGCTCACAGTGAGCAGCTCTATCAAAGCTGACACAAACTCTGCAAGCACGTCATCCAAGAGCAATGACACTCGCCTGCCTCCCCACAACCCCCCCGCTCCACCCCAACGCTTTGTAGAGCCTCACGAGCTGATGGGCTGACAAAGGAGGCCCTTTAGGCAATTGAGAGACGGCTTGTATCAGCAGTTTTACCTCGTCGGGCACAAGTGCGACACTTGTTCTGGCCGAGTGGCATCGCTTTCTCATCAACTTCCAATCTGCTTCGACGCTTGACGAGTTGCCAATATTGGGGCTCATGTGGTGTGTGGTGCACGCCGCCGCCGCCGTTTTTTTTTTTTTTAATCTTTATCGGGCCATCAAGGAGCACGCTCGCTTTCATTTCGTGTCAGGGAGCAAGCGGAAGAGGTTGAAGTAATGTTGAAGAAGTGAATGCGTTTAAGTACAGTCGCGGTAAGAATTAAACAGTCAAAGAACTTACTTTAAGGGGTGTGGCCTAGCAAATGACCCCAGGAAGTGGAGGAAGGTGGGCCGTTTCGTCTGTGTGTGAGCACCTGGCCGTGAGTTGTGGCCTACAGCAGCGAATGTTTTCACTTTGAATTGGTGGTGTTTGAGTGTTTGGTCACAAATGAAATCCCGTGATGAGGCGAGGGAACACTGCACTGAAGTTGAAGTCGATTTAATTCATCGTTCACGGGAAATATGCTTCTTAGAAAATGCTGGTAATAAAACGAGTACTATTTTTAAACCACAGCTGTCCTGTTAACCTAGTCACCCATTTCTTGGTATCTTTACGCACTTCTTGGATCAAAATCTTGACCCGATATGCTTGGTCAAGATCCTCAACCCAATGCTCTCGGTTTATTGTAAATAACCCAGCATTGGCTCAGTCCCTTCCAAATGCAGCACTGGGTTAACTATTTCATTAATTTGCGTTACTTTTGACCCAGTGGGTTTAAGAGTGTAGTAAGTCAATAGAGACAAATGGGATAAACTAGTGGTAGACAAAAAAAAAAAAAAAGAGCAGGGGACGACTACAGCCTGCCCCCTTTTCATCAATTAGCCCACCAAAATCAAATTAACCCAGGAGGAGTCGCACCCCCCTCGGGCATCTTACAAGGCAAATGAAGAGCAATGCACATTACTGCACTGGTTAAGGAGGGTAAGTAGCGACCCAAAAGCGGCAAACAGGTGCGGAGGGAGCGAGGGGGGCGCGGTGGGTTGGAAGGAAAGCGGCCGGCGAGGCTGCAGGCACTGAACAGATGCTTTTTTTTTTTTTTTTTCCTTTGCTTTGTGCCGCCACCTTCGCCCAAACCCACAAACACAAGGCAGCGAGCGTCATTTGATCCGCGCTGCGCTTGTCGCATGCGGCCCTGGGAGGTGAGCAAGCCAAGTGACCTAATTAGAGCAGTGAGAGTCCCCCGGGCTGAGTGACAGATAGAGCTGCCAATCACGCGGCGGCGGGCTTCCGTCAACGCCGCCGCTCCTCACCTGACACAAAGAGGCGGCGCGGCGGGAGGCCGCGAGACACACCGAGGTCCGCTCGGACACGAGGAACGACGCGCACGACGCCTCGGCGTCCGACTGCTGTCAAACAAAAGCATGGCGGGACGGTGTGAGAAAAAAGGATGAATCCCGCTCGGCCTAAATAATTAAGGCGCAAATAAATAAACCAGTCGGCCTCACTCGTCGTGTCTGTGACTTAATTAAGTGTGACGAGGCGCACAGAAATGAAGTCAAGACAAAGACCGGGCAGAAAAGCCACGGAAGACACACAAGCACACAAACTGTTGCTAGGCAACATACAACAGCTGCAGGATTTTTTTTTCGCTCCCGCAAACAAAGGAAAAGATGAAGCAAGAACAAAATATTCTTTGTATCTATTTTGGTATTGCTTTTTTTGTGTGTGTGTGTGTGTGTGTGTGTGTGTGTGAGCGTGTCTAAAACTAGCAGCTCTGTTCTGTCGTTTGATATTCATTCCACGCGCACATGATTTGAATGTTGGAAAATTAGTCACATTTTTTTTTTGGGTTAAGAGACTGCTGTTGGGAACATATTAATTAGCAAATGGGTGGTATTCTTATTTCTCTTGTTCTTTGGGGTTTCATCTTTATTGGCGCTGTGAGAAAAAAAAAAAAAAAGGCTGAGAGCGCAATCAAGCGGTCCAGGGAACCATTTAACAGTTACATGACTGACAACAGGAACACTTATCGCAACACTCCACTTTTAATGATCGAGTGACGCACTTGGCTCATCCTGGAAGAAAGATAGCAATCGGAATGCATGTGAAATATGTGCCCACAAAAAGAAATAATAATAATAATGATCAAATCATTTAGGATTATACTTAAGAGTTGCGTCTAATTGAGGGCTGCCTTGATTTACGAGCTGGTCCGCAACTCTCCACTTTTAAATTCCATGTAAACTCAATTGATCTGTTCCAAACCCACAAAAAAAAAGTTTTTGTTCCACTTTTTTTAATACAGATATAACAATGAGTGTTGTTTTTATTTTTAGAGACAAGCCGTTGCCATTTTTTTTTCTTCACCACACCGGCTGGGTTAAAAGTAACACAAACTGGGTGAAATTGCAAAGCTGGCTTAGCCATAAACGACGCATTACTGCAACATTTCGAACCAACAAGGGGTCAAAATTACTCATACTGAGTCTCAGTACAGCTGTGGCAAAAAAAATCCATATCTCCATTTTTATATTATAAGAAGAAGAAGAAGCAACTCTCAACCCAGATGCCTTAAATCAGAAGACGCGGATGGAACATTTCTTAACTTCTACTCCTCAATACCAACACACAAATATCATTCCCGTTGCTCGGTAGAAGTTTGGAAACTTTTCAGGTGGTCAGAGACGGACGGGCGCCACTGTCCTCTGCTTGAACTGCAATGTGAGCTGTTGTGTCACGCACACGTGGTCGTATTGCAAACCAGGTGCTTGGACTCGACGTTGATATGAGGGCTGCACAATATATCGGAAAAATATCATCATGGCAATCGTGACCCGTGCGATAAGCATCACAAAGACGCGCGATGCGTTTTTAGACGGAGTTGTATGCCTTCATCGGACTTTGACCAATCCCGTGCAGCCTTAAATGCGTCGCCGTCCAATAGGTGAATATTATAGGAGCATAACTAACATTAAATAAGTACCGATACCGGAATGTGCTGTAAAAAAGTTAACACGATTACATCCAGCCAGCTTACAAAGTGTTTTGCAATTTATCTCATGAGATAATTTTTTTAAAAAACGTCATTTCAGGTGCATGTTGTATATCGATGTTGTAATATTCAAGACTCATATCGCATATCTTTCCAATATGGCGCAGCCCTAATTTATTTTCAACCTTTGAAATTGTTAAGTCAGAAACCTTCGCAAAACCCGTTATTGCCCTTTTTCAAATTGCATCAAAATGAGCACAAACACATGTTCGACTGCTGTGCTGTAAAAGCTGTAAATGTTTTTTTTGGGGTTTTTTTTTTAATTTTCGAGTACAGTTGTGAGGTGGCAAACGAACTACGACACAACTCTGTACCATTCGATGGAGCAATTCACCTCTTTTGCTTTTCATCTTGTGCTGGATCTTCTAAGTGACATAAAACGAGAAAGAAATGATTCACCACTGTGGTGAGCTGAGCAGCCTTGTATGGAGGCGTCGGTGCCTACGAGTTGCAAATAGTGTTATTGTTCCCGAAATTGGCTAAATGGAGCATAAGTGGTATGAAACATCTCTCATTTTGTCGTCTGTGGCATTGATTTTTTTTTTCTCTTCTTTTCTCCCTCGTTCTCCAACAGAGTGAAGAGCGGTCATGTGTCAGGAAGTAGTCACGGCCCCGCCATCGACTTGAACCTGGATCTCACCTTGGGCAGGTTCAGACTCGCGGCTCTCTGGCTAATCCGCCGTTGACTCAAAGGACGCGCCAAGTGCGACTCCCTTTCGGAGTGAAATTGAGCGGGGGATACATTTCCATTTACCGAAAACAAAAAAACAAGAAGCACGGACCAAATTTGAAGATGAGCGCGAGGGGAGGAAATCGATGCAAACACCAACTCTCTCAATCAACAGTCTGCACACGTGTTTGTTCGCCACAAGTAGCCTTCTGATTAGTCACAGATAATCTCATGAGCACATGATGATCATTAGAATTTGCAGCAGGCGAGCAGACAACACTATGTTGTCTCTTTCCTCCTCTCTTGTTCGCCGCATCTAAAAAGGAGCCCTTTTAACCTAAGTGGGCTCTGGACGGCGGCCAAGTGGGATACCGGCAGAGCCGTTTGGGTAGCAGGAAATGTGTGGCCACTTGCTAGCTTGCGAATACATTCCCCTTCAATAAGGTTCATTCTCTTTGTCGGCGTGGCTTCCGTCGTGAGAAGATGGGGGCCGGAGATAAAGAGGCCTCAACCGAGGCTTGAACATTTGTCACCTGCGAAATCAATGGCGAAGCAAGCTCATGCGAAAACGGACGCATTTTGGATCGCTAACGGTGTTTTGTAGCCCGACGCTGCAAAGTTTGACGGCGAAACGTTTCCTGTCTGCGCGAGAGCTGTGGACCACAGCAGTTTCTGCATGAACGCCCTTAAATTGTTTGACTGTTCTCCGGCATTCGATGCATGTCAGTGCACTGTCGACTGTGGCTCGCCTTTCTCACAATCGAGGGCATTGTTGTAAGTGCGCTGTAAAAAACGCATCACAAAAACGTGACATGCTTCTACCAGATGTTCACAGAGTCAATAAAAACAAAATTAGCTTTTTCAAACAGCCGGTCTGTTTTAATTCATGTGAGCGGAGGTAAACGCAAAACGACGAGCGAGCCAAATTGAAAGCATTTTCCCTCGCTTGGAATCAAAGTCTTGAATTGTGGTGTGCAAGGAGAGCATTCAAGTTGTTTTTTTTTCCCTGCTCTGGGTCGACATATCTTAAATGTGAAACAAGTTCAATATTTCTGCTAGGCGTATGATCAATATCGATTGTGTCTGAGCCACCAACTCAGCGATTGCCAATTAGCAACTAACATGACGCTAACAGTTAGCCAAGCCTTTTCTATTGCTTCTTCACTTCTACTTTTATGGGGATTTTTGGCAATCTGGATGCCCTGTCACTCTATGCTGCCTCTCACAGGTCAATCTAGGTACTACAGTCCTATTCTTTTGTGTGTGTCATTCATCAGCCAATTTCTTGCCGTTGACCAGGCTTGCGTCCTACAGTATTTTAAAAAACATCAACACAACAAATCCCAACCTGATCTGGCATTGCGATAGTAAGAATATTAAATGGGATTTTCCAGGTTAAGTATAACTGGTACTGAACGCTCAGTGTCAGATTTGAATCAAAGCCGGTCGGACATTCCAGCTCCCAACCCGAAAGAAGATTTCTGCCATGATGAAAAGGGAAAAGATTTCTTCGAAATGTTGACACCTCACCAAAATGTAATGGAAACATCATTTGCTGAGGAAGAAAGAGGTTACAAAAGTGTCGACAGGAAGTTGCGCAGGAGCAACCCCACGCAGATGAAAAGTCTAACACGCTTGGCAGAGATAAACCGTAAAATGTATCGGGAGGCAGAATAATCCGTGAAGACGTGTCTGAGCCAGATGGAGTGTCTCTGCCCGAGATAACAAGAACATCCCCCTGATGCAACATAACAGCTAAATTCGTCATAAATAAGAGCATCGGTGGAGGCTGCGACGGCGTGACAATGATGTGTTTAATCTATCCATCCAGGACTCTATCTGCCAGTCTTTTGCTCTACTGCCAAGCTAACTTTCCAGGAGCCAGCGAGCGTCGCTCGCTGCCAATCCGGCGTTCCCCCCCTTCAGCCTCCTGTCGCCCGGCACACATGCTCCCAAACACCAGCGGGCGCTAAGAATAGAGCACAGCTGGCACTGCGGGACTTGCATATTTCACACTCGGGCCACGGCGCTCCGAAATACCCCTGCCACCGTCTAGTCCCGTTTACCAACTCGGGCTGCCCAGCAGTAGTTGCCTCCCCGCCAGGACTCAAGCATCCCACCCCTCTCTTTCTGCGCCTTTGCGCTGATCTTCACCTCCGCGGCTCGCCGCTTAGATAAGATCCAAGACGACACTCGAATGTCACTTAGAAGTGGGAAGCACTCCATAAAGGCTTAACCATCCTAATTTGGATCAGCTAACTGACTTCCCAGCGTGCAATCTCGCATGCTAACAATGAAAACGTAGAGCCCCATGGACAACGTGGCACTTAAAATCTCCAACCGGCGTTCCTTCATTCACATTTTCATCTGGATCGGCACCAGAATTTAAATTTGGCAAACAAACAAAGAGAAATGAAACAATAACCACCATGGCCAAGGTAAGTCGCACTCAGCTGAGCACTGACCTCCACCGAGGCAGAACATTTCTACTAAAATGAGTGCAAAATGGATTCGCGCATATGTTAAATGTATTTTTTGAAATTTATGCATTCTTGACTTTTTCTCCATGTTTGCGCCACATTTTTTCCAGAGCAATAATGTACACAGTAATCACTATGGCCAACATAACGACAATAGCAATTGAATACTGACCACCACCAAGGCAGAACAGTCATAATTCAACTAGATGGGAAAATTAAGTCACAGATTCCAATGTTGTTGTTTTTTTGTTTTTTTTTTTGATGAATGCACATTTGTATCAGGATCTGCATCCAGATTTTTAATTTAACAGAAAAAAAAATGGCATGAAAACAGAAGCAACATGCGCCACACCCAATCACAGCGTTTTGTGAAAATCAGTTAAGAGCTCATGACGCAATCCCGCCAACAAACACAAAGAAAGAAACGTCAATGAAAGCATGACCTCCTTGGCGGAGGTAGCTAGAGGAGATGTAAAAACAAGGCGCGAGGGAGGCAGTGAGTGGGGGGGGGGGGTTGGGGGGGGAGTTCTTTGTGACTCCCTGCAGCCGCCCCACCCACATGGCACGCTCACATTATGCTACAGCAGCACAGACCGCCCTGCGCTGTCGAGAGCACATGATGTCATGATGATACAGGGGAGCAAGCAGAGGTGATAAAAGTACTCACATTCTCGAAATAATATTCTGAATCACCTTTTGGTCCTTTTGGTCCAGCACCTTTCCAATCGAGGCGCACGGAATAAGAATAACTGAGCAATTTATGCAAAACAGTACTGAGACCATGAAAAAAATAAATAAATAAATCGCTTCGTGTCACTTGTTTAGCGCTCGCTAGCATTAGCTTGACATCTATCAAAGTGATCTAGTTTTGATAATGTTGTCAAAAACAAATTCTAATTTAGTCAATGATACACCTTACCTGGTGGTTTTTAGGCGAAAATGAAAATCATTCAAGTCGACAACACCGTTAAAAAAATATACCTGGCCTTCCTCTCTGTCCGGTGCTTACATGTTCCTTCCTCACATTTGGCTTGAATATCCCCAACAACTCCATGTATTTAACCTTGTCTCATTCTATCATGATGGTTTAATGCTTCAATTCAATTCATTGTGCTGCTCCTTCTGGCATGCCTGCCTTAGCCACCAGGGGCAGTATAATACAGTCAAACAAATGAAGAATCACCACTTCTCTTAGTGACTCAATCAGCTGCGATAATATGAGCTGATTTCTACAGAGGATAAAGAATATATGCCTGTGAGGATTGTGATACAGTTTATGTGCTTCCGCCTCAGGTGCTGCGACAACAGTGACACGGCCAGATTAGTGGGAGGCGCCACCTGCAGTCACTTAAGGTGAAGCCGACGAATGTGAGAATAGTGGAAACGCCGGGTGTGACTATGCTTAAAATCACTCCCGCCCTGTATTCAGTAACTCTAAAAGCGACGGCAAAATAAAGTGTTTTCGCCTATTAAAACTCTCGCTCCTGTCGGGACTGGAAATTTGGCCGGTCGGCGCTCTCCCATGCTTATCCGTGCGAGTCCTATTAATAAAAAAAAACAAACAAACAAACACAAACAGCCCCGTGCTAAAAAGACACCGCTGCTGATCACCCTGTGTCTCCTTACAAGCCGCCGCGCTTCGTCCGCCATAAATCAAGACGCCGCGCTTAATGGCGCTCCCACAGCTGCATAGCTTAGCACTTTATTTCTGGGCTGGACCATCACATCATTATTATAAAGGCGGGGTCTCTATTGGAATACAGTTTGCGCTAATGAGCGCCTCTTAGTTGATCACATTAGACCTCCACTCGAGGACACTTTAATTACCAGTGGCGCACTCTTCGCCCGTTGAGGGGGCTACACAAGATGTCCTCTAATTAAAGAGTCTGCATTCTACCTGTGTTTGCACAAGCCGGCGTCCTTGGCGGGGATGTTTTCACAGCCAACAACACCCCTACCCTCCATCGAACCCCCTCCTTCAAGTCCATAAAACATATATACTGTGTGCATGTGCAAGTGTGGCTGACAGATTTAGTGTGTTTCCAATATGAGATACATACTGCATGTTTGCGCGGCCATGTGGGTGCCTTCAATCTCCGTCGTGTTTATGTGCACGTTCCACGACGACTGTTTGAAGGTTGTCTCCTGGGTGCCGACGTTATGACCACCGGCCAATACAAGAGACGTAGCTAAAAAAAAGATAATACGGTGGACCCGTGCACGATTCACCTATTCACAAGTGTTTTTAATATTTTTTTTAATGATTTTTATTTGATCTTTTATTGGAGGTTGATTGCCGTTCAAGAGCTGTTTAATTGAAGTTTACCGTCAAAGCAAACAAAGCAGAATTACACCGCGTGTATTTAAAACAACCGCAGCGTTGCCTGAGGAAAGTTCAATTAGCTTCATGCTAACAAACAACGCAAAACGTAATTGACGTGCTAATTATTAGCGTCCATAGGAACAATTTGAGCAGCAACAGATATATGAACACATGGTGGAAGAAAATCTACGGCGGTATCACTATAGTCTCGGGTGTATAGTCTTTATTTTTGATGAAAATTTACTAATATTGCAGCATCTTACTGAGTCACTTACAGTCGGAGTGGAAGAACAACTCACGTGATTTTCACCTACTTGCCGATTTTTTTTGTGTGTGTGTGATACACATCGGTGGTTTTCGTTCAAACTATTCACAGACGCAATTGTAATCACAGCTACTAACAGGATTTTGTTATTCGTGATAGCAAGGGGTCACTGTACTGTCATGCCCTCCCATCTGGGCAAGGAGAGCCACCGTCGCTGACCCGTGACAGACAAGTCAAACGGACAAATACAAAATGAGAAGAGCCGGCAAGGAGCTGCCGCGACTCGGACGCCGACCAACATGCGACGCCCGAGGCCACGCCCCATCAAGGCACACGTCCAACATAAATACTAGAGTAATGACATACATGCCTTAGCACAATAAAGCACACGGAATTGCTTTAGATGTTGCAGGTGTGCCTAATTTAGTGGCCGGCGAGTGTACAAAGAACGCAGTGGAGGCTTCCTGTGTGTTGCGCTTTTTTCTTTTTTTTTCTTTTTTAATAGTCTCCGCCTTTGCTTAGCTTTGAGTCACTGTTACAATAAGCTGCACATGTCCACAGCCAGATGACTGTTCTCGCTCCCTCTCCACCCTCCCTCTCTCATTATGCTCGCTCGCTCTTTAATTTTCTCTCCCTCCGTCTGACTCGCTCGCTCAAACGGGGGCTGAGGCCAGCAGTCAGGAAATGCACATCAGTCATAATACTTTCCTAAAATGAAAACAGATTCCACTGCAGTCCCTCAGCCCCGCTCTTTCTGTCTCTCCCTCTCTTTTCCTCTGTGTCAGAGCTAAAAAACACCCCCTGCCCCCCCTTCTTCCCCCAAACATTCGTCTGGTCCTCCGCCCTTTCCCCTCCTCCGTCGCCAGCTCACGTCCGACAAAGGACTCATTTGCGTCCCGTCACAGATGGAGAATCACCGGCACACGGGACAGTTGTTTTGCAACGCTACATTTTGTGTGTTGCTCCCAGTGTGCGACATCGCTGATGGACGGCTCACAACAGCCTTGTAAATTCCCATCATATCTTCCTCTTCTTTTCTCTCTCTATTGACTACTTTTTTTTATGATAATGATGCAAGTTGCAGTTACAAGCAGTAAATCAGTGCGCGACAAGGTTAGTGCATGGAGGAATGCAGTAAAACAGGCTCTCAGACTGCTTAGCCAAGACCTTTTGGGTCAAGTAAGGCCCAGTTGATGTTAAAAGGAGGCAGACTACGCTACTTTTTATGTATGAATAGACGTGGCAAAAGCACTCATGCTCAGTCTCTTTAAAAAATAATTTTTTAAAGGTTGGGTCAAAAATACTACCGCCACTTGGGTCAATTTCACGCAACTATCCTACTGAGCGGTGAATAATTGTGAGGGCAGCAAATGTTACATTCCCATCAGAGTTTCGTTCAAGGTCTCAATGTTGGCTAAACTGTCGCCAGACGTTCGGCAGACATTCGCCAACAGTTTTTTTTTTTCCTTGTCACAGGGAAAGTTCAAACATATTCAAAATTCTATTACAACAAGAAAGGCGATTGTCTGGTGTTTGGCGATCATTTGTGACCTTGAACGAACCCTAACCAAACTGACCTGAATGCAACATTCGCTGCCTTTGAAAACACAGTACTCAGTGGGACAGGGAAACACTCCGCTAAAAGTAGAAGCTCCGATTCATCTCTTGTACTCAAAGTGAGATTGTATATTTTAAAAAAATAATAAAGAAAAAAAAATCACTACATATTTGTTAAAAATGTCTGTTTAAACTTGTCAAGTCCTCATTTTCCAATGACCGCATAAAACTTCCCAAACATACTAGGAGCAAAGTAACATTTCTGCTGAACAGGTAAGTTAAGTTGAAGCAACTATTTTATGTTTTATTGGTTGTAATTGATTGTACATGCCAAAAAAATCAACTTCATAAAGATAGCATTTAGCATTATGCTAACAGTCCGATATGTCATTTACGCTACCACTGTAGCAACCGTGGCTAACGCTGGTTTGTTTACCGTGCTAGCTTATCTTTGCCAGTGCTGCTATATTTTTGCAGATGGTTCTGCATTTTCTGAGATTCTTTATCACGACTAAGCACTTTCATAATGCCGTCAAAAGAGGGTTCCCAAGGTTTTGCTAACATTATGTACTGAATGACAAAAAATGCTGAATGAGCTAATGAGAAATGATAAAATGTCCCTCACTTGTATCCAGATTTTTTTTTATTATTTTTTTTACGATGTGATGGATTTTTTTTTTTTTGGTGTTTAGGTTGGCAAAGGACATGACAAATTCACTGTGAGTCATTCTTTCAGCCAACAACATTAAAAAAAAAAAAAAAAGAAAGAAAATCTTGGAAAAAAAAAAAGCCATATTGCGTCATGCTGCCTGATTCACGTTCCTCCATTTGGCTGCTGTTCCTGTTTTTTCGGCCTTATAAGATCTAAGATCACTCAAGATTGCATTTGCAGTTAACTTAAACTCTCTCTAGTCTCTGCTTTTTTTTTTAAACATGGCTTTGTCATCCGCAGAGGTTGAAAAAAGTAACGAGCCTTTGACAATGTGAGGAATAGAAAGTATTCATTTAGAGCGTGCAGGTTAAAAAGTCAACAGAAAAACACTTAAGTACAGATCCCCAAAGAAGTCTTTCAGGCACAATATCTTCTTCAGTACCGCTGCATTTGACAAACGATCGCCACGTCTTTCCGAGATGCATAAACAATGGCAAATGTACAACTAATTGCACCACCAAAAGAAAAGGCAGGAAATGACCACAGCTCAATTACACGTGCGCCAGCATAAGATTGAACTTCTGATATAAATCTCTCTCGCACAGGCGTCACTGTGTGCTCTGTTTGTAAGCGCTGCATCACATGCTGAGATTCCACTTACACAATTGCATCTTGCAACCTCATCCAGGGTGACAATGCTCTGTTTTGACCGACATTTGAACAGGCATGTTTACTATTGTGGTTGGAGTGTTAAACTGGTGGGGCTAAATAAGGTGACTGAAATGTTACCGAACGGTGCTTAGTACAAGCCGAAGAATTCATGTGTTTATATAGCAGTCGTTTTATTTTACTACGACTCAACGTTCATGATTCAGCGCAAATGACATGACTGCAAAACTACCACAGCGACATACCAAACAACGTTTATTCACTAGCTGGCTGACTATCTCCAACAAACACTAAAATAAAATAAAACAATACTGATTTATACAAGTAGATTAGCTATTTTGCTAATCCAGCTAGCTAGCTAATCTAGTTAGATTCTAATTAGAATCTAGTTAGATTAGCTACCTAGCTAATCCAGCTAGCTAGCTAATCTAGTTCGATAGATGATAGGTCAAAAAAATGTAAAATTGAATTCATATTTTAACATTGGGAGAATGAAGTTGGATGTTTACAAGATAAGATGTATTTGTTTTATTAAAGTTGTAATATTACAAGAATAAAATTGTACCTTTTTGGGAAAAAATTCTAGATTTTAGATTAAAGTTGAATATTTTTCCACACTTGAATTCATTTACAATGATAAAATTGCCTACGTTTTCGATGATATTTTTTTTTTGTAAGATTAAATTTGTTTTTGAGATCAGAGTCGTAATATTACAAGAATATATTGCTAGTATTTGAGATTAAAGTAGTCCATTTTTTATGTTGAAATCATAATGCAAAATTAAAGAATTAAAGTGAGATATTTTCAAAATAATGAGTTACTTTTTTAGATGAAAGTCGAAATGTTACGAGAATAAAGCCACAAAATATTTTTTTGATCAAAATTGTATAGCTGGAGCTCTTGCATTGCCTCACATTGGGTGCTGTAGGTGTAAACAAGTTGCGTAAACATCATGACAGCAAAGCCCTCAGAGAGATGTTATCGCCACATTGGGAGCCAAAAGACCTCTTGACCTCTCAAAACACCATTGACCTATGACCCCCCCCTCCGCTTAATTCTAAAACTACAACTTTGATGGTCACACCCCGAAAGGCGCGATGACGAGAGCCCGCGTCGCGGCTTCGTTGCGACGATCACCCTTGGGACCTCGCCAAAGCAAGAACTCCAGTCTACTGCATGCCTTTCCACTTGGCTGCCCTCAGGGAGCTGGAAGGTTAGCAAGCTGCTTCTTTTTTTTTTTTCTCAGGCTGGGGGTAGGGGGGAATCAAAAACAGCACCCGCCTCCCGACAAAGTCACCAAATTTCACCTCAAACCGTATTTGCTGTGCGTGTCGCCGCCTGTCAGAAAATACCTCTCAGCCAATCTTTGTGGGGGCAACATTAACATTTTATCAGCTTTTATCTGGAAGGTTGATGGGAGGAGGAGGAGTAAAAAAAAAAAAAAAAAGGAGCTTTCGACTGCTCCTCGGCTGGCACGATCCTCTGATTTATGAGCTGGTAAGCCGTTTGTGTAGCTTGACACATTACAATATTGAAGATGAGGAAATCATTATGCCTGGGAGAAATATTTGAGGGGCAGCCGCCGCTCGGCATTGGAGACTGAAATGATTATTAAAAAGGGGGATGATGCGATGGAGGTGGGTTGGTGGTGGGGGGGGGCTGATCTTCACCCACCACATGAGCTTAAATCGTGAAAATGTATGGAGGAGCACTATACAACTCCACGTGCATCATTAGCAGGTGTGTTTTGCTCCATTCTAACCGCTTTTAGCGTCGCATGCTAAGCATGACTTATTGACGAGGCTCTTGGATGAAAATGAATAATCTCACCCCGCCCGTGGAGCTAAATGTGCCTGTGCATTATTAATTGAACAACATGTTTATTAATATGGTTTACAGAGGCGTGGAGCGCCATGCACTCGATCAGGTATGTTGAATCCTGTATTTGGCTTGTAAAATGTAAAATTAGAAACCACACATCATTAGTGAATGATGTTTTTTGTGATATGCCCTCATTTTGTCCATCTTTAAAATAGCACTTTTGTCCAAATCTGGTTTGCAAGTGTGTGGTCCGATTCGGCTCCCCAGTCGATAAAAAAAATTGTGCCGCCCCCCCCCCCCTAGCTTTTAAGTTACCCATCCCTGTTTTAGAAACAGTCCTTAATATGATCCAGTGGCACGCTCTAACCCAAAAAGAAATAAACATTTTCTTTTTAATTACTGCCTCAGGGACCATCACAACTTAGCATCAATATCTGGTCTGTCAAAGCGCCAAGGTTTTTGGACTTCGTTCAAACTGTCATCTTTGACATGCACGGGAGTAAATCTTCAAATGGAGTTGGGAAGCTCTCTCAACCAAGCCATGATGAAGGATGAAATCATCCAATGCATTTGAAAGTTCATACTCACATTCTTTCAAGAGGAATAAAACAATGACAGATGTTTGCTTGTTTGGTTTCGTCATTTCAACTATTTGATTGAATAGGTGATTAATGTTCATTAGAAAATACTTTTCCAGATGATACACTCCAAAAACTGCTCGCCAAAAAATAATATTTTGGGAAAGAAAAATGGACTGGCCCACAATTTGACACCACTTTCTGTACAAAAAAAAAAAAAAAAGTTGGCTCAAATTGGCCCAAGAAGCTTTTGTTTTTTTCTTTTTACCAAAATCTGGTTCTGTTTGACCCGTCAGTTCTAAGGCTGTGCAGTGTTAGCTTGCTATGATGACGTTTGAACCCACATGACATCACAAAGGTAATAATTAGCTCACTATATATAAAATATATAGCTGTATATTCATTGTTAAAACAAAATTAATTCAAAGCATTGAAATTGCTTAACTAATTATTATTTATAATGCATTATACTTTGGACATTTTCTTTTTTGGGGGGGCGGTCACACTGGATTAACCCCACAACAAAATCCTATTTAACCCATTTTGTGGTTTACAATCCCATCCCAACATGTAGGGTCACACCCATAACCCAGCCCAGCTGGTCTACAATAGCCACTGGCAGGGTTGGTCCAACCTTAGGGTCCCCCCCCCCAAAAAAAACTATTTTTGTTGTATTTTTGAGCTAAATTGGCTGGATCCCTAAGACTGTCCAATGAGCGTCATGCAATTTTTTGCATAATAAAAAGGACTCCATGACATCAGGTGTCAAAACATTTTTGATTGATGCATTTATATGTTCAGCTCTGTATTGTATATAAAAAGTAAACCGCACTAAGCCATTTGCATGAACGGCATGTATACAGTGTAATTATATCCCCCTTGTGGAAGCACATTTTAACCAACACCGCTCAGAATGATGCAGTGTTGTTCTATAATCATAGCAATGAAAGAAAAAAAACTGTTGAATTAATCCTGCTAATCCCAATTAGCTGGGAAGGGAGACCACGATGTAAGGTGTCAAATCATTCTTTGATTTGGCCATTTATTTTCAACTATGCTCAGCTCTGTATTTTATAACAAAGTATGATTTTTTTTTCCAGTCCTTTCGCTGGATTTTTGAGGTAACTGGGATAAAATAAACGGAAAGGGGCAATCCCCAGTAAAATGTCAAATTAATTTGGGGGTTATTTATACTCATTTGAAACCCACTCTTCATTCTATCGAAAAAAAACATTCCTATGATTAACTATCGTAACATTCCTTAGGTACCAGTGGCAACAACAGCGACATCCATGACACCATCAGGCTTAAAGTAATTTCTATTTATGCTTTGTGTTTATTCATATTCACCTCTGCGTTATTTATAAACATATAGAGATACATCTATTGTTTTGTTTTTTTTTCCCTACTGGTGTAGCATGGATTTTTTTTTTTTTTGGGGGGGGGGGCGTAGCGCGGACACCACGAGGTTTCCAAATGAATTCTGCTTGAAAAACTAAAGCCAATCGTTGGCGTGAAAAGACATTTTCTAGCGTAACTTGGGCTCGCGAAGCGACGCGTTCAATTGGTCGGTGTGTCCTACCAGGGAGAAGATGTTGGAGTGGCAGTCCTCGAGGCTTGCCCCGTTCGCCACCCAATTCGTCGTTGTCGTCATAATGCTCCCAGCTTTGGCTCCTCGGCGTTAGGCATGTCGAAATCCCAACATCAACACCCCAAAGGGGCTGACACACAAGAGTGGGGGTCCCGTCCCTGAAGTGGGGGTCCACTCCACACAAACACACGGCGAGGAGGAGAAGGGGGGGGGTGTAAGGGGGTGTAAGCAAGGCTAAAAACCTCACAAGAGGTCCAGATGAATAAGAGAAGCAAATAATGGGGCGTATTCACAGCGAAGAAGTGCACGATGAGCCCATGGTCGATTTGAAAATAATCCACGCAGGGGGTGGGAAGGGGTGGGGGGGATCAAAACACGATTCCAATCCAGGTCAGGCGGACACATCCACGCCGTTTGGAAAAAATCAACCTGAGACGAACATCGTAATGATAATCGGAATAATAATCCATGGTTGCGAAGGCGCCGACGACGGCACGCACAAAAAAAAAAAAAAAAACTTCTCGAATCGAGGAAAAAAAAAAAAACACCCAAACAAACCCACGCGAGTGTGATTTCTACACGCGTGTGATTCTTCACGATCCCATGCAGCACTTGTGATAGTTTACTGGAATCGCGCAAGGGGCTATTTATAGCCGCCTTTCTTAGCACAGCGCACAATGTAACCCGGCCAGGAATGTTTTAATCCCTCTGTTGCTTCTCTATTCAGGAAACCGATGGAGATTCTCTTCCAGGTGAAGAAAAAAAAAAACAAAAAAAAAAACAATTCCAGACGGCGCTTCCTTCGCGTCCTTCGACCCTTCCTGGGGCGGGGGACAAAAGTGGGGCACAATCCACGATCGTCCGAAAAGAGGAGAGAAACTATTCGTACTCCAGCGGCAGGAAAGCGACAAGCAGCCTTTCTGTGTGTGCGCGCGTGGAAAAAAAAATCCTTCCTTCCTTTCAGTTTTATATCATTACGACACGTCCGCTCGCTGCTGCGCACACACACACACACTCACACTCACTCACATACGCTCGCACACACACACGCGCTCGCGCACGCGAAGAGCAAGCCGAAGGAAAAGCAGCGGTTTCTTGCACGCTTTATTGTGTGTGCGCGTGCTCGCTCTCGCGCGGATTTGGCGTCCTCACTATAAATGTGATCATGTCATTGAGGCTGGTAAATAAGAAGTGCTGGTGTGCACGTCAGGACCGCTGCGGGCCTCCACCAGAGTTTCCTCTGGCTTCGCCCTGCCCAGGCATAGTTCACCATCTTTCGGGTCCTATCGCGCGCGCTCTGGCTCCACCTCCCCGACGCGGCGGGCGAGGCGGGCCGGTGGTGCGCCCGGAGACGTCGTAACCCCGCGGGGCCGGGATCCCACCTCCAGCCCCCCCCCCCACACACACACACACACACGCACGCACACGACCCACGTGATCCAAGTGTGGGATTACATCTTGCACAGCTGCAAAAATCCACAGTGTGTGCGTCACCTTCTCGATTATTAGTATTAATAGGAATATGATTCAGTAAGGGCACACTGGGAAAAAAAAAGCCGAACAACGGTGTCATTTATTTAACGTACAAGCTCATTGAAATATTGTGGTTTCTGGTTATTTATATACTGCATATTATATATATATATAACTAAAAGCAAATCATACAGCCACTAGATAAAACTAAAAGCAACAAAAAAAATAATTTCAGCTCTTTGTAATACTCACAATCCATCCCTACATGTTCAGACACTCAAGCCGACATCATGATGGCATTCATCATGATTTCAGTGGACACAGACCTCTCTGGGGAGGCACCAGGTCAGATGCCAAAGGCAGGATTCTTGAGAATGTTGTCACCAACGACACCTTAGGTCTGCAAAGACACACACACACACACACACACACACACACACACACACACACAAAAAAGTTATTTCCATGCTGCCCCTCCTCTCTAATTGCGC